GGGAAGGCGACACCCTCCCGGCCCGCGACGAGTGTCCCGAAGGTCGGGGCAGAGGGACCCACTCCCCTGGAGTCTCTCCAGGCCCCAGAGCCGGTCCCTAAGGATCCTGTTCTCAAAATGATTAGAATCAGCCGCTGAGCCGCAGAGAGTTTAGCGATTGCGTTTGATACAGTCCCTTCGTTTGACAAGAAATTGGTTGTATTTCTGCACTTTGTTTTGTTTTTAGTTTCTCCATTTCTTTTTTTCCAAGTGTTTCTCTCTCAAGTGATTCTCCATGCCCAGAGCTACATTCTCCTCTTCCTCCTCCAGAGATTTTTTTTTTAACTTTGCCATTTTAAAAGAATTTGACTTAAGCAACCTGAATTGCTTGCACTTTGATGTTAGGGCATCAGAGAATGTTCTCTGCTTTTTAAAGTGAGTTTTAAAAGTTGGCTAGACTGAAGGGGCTGAAGTGGGAGATTCTGCCGTTCTCGGTGGGAGACCCAGGCGAGACAGGACAAGGTAGGTAGCAACAGGGTGACGGGGACCAATTGAACTAGTGCACTTTAGGTGTGAAGAGGTCTATATTGAGACCCACACCAGGGAATTTGGTATTTACACTATGGAAGCCTGGAAGAAGTTAATTGGCATATTTTTCAGCAGGGCGAAGGCAAGATCAGAAATGCCTGAGCTACTGGGAGGTTAGTCTGGCGGCCTGCCTCTGTTGGAGGAGAGGACCGTTGGGATTAGGACGCTGATCCCAACTCCCATCCCAGGCCCCGTATTTTTTAAACAATCAAACTGTACTTAAGAGCACTTAATTTGAGATCTGCCGGATGCTTTTGGCCATCCTAAGACTAAATATGAAGTAAATGTAGTTAAAAGCACAAGAATATAGAAACCTAGGGCGAACAGCCTCATACTGTTTAATTTAGAACCTAGCTCTCTGGACTCTTATCACTTGAACCTTCTTGAGCTCCAGTGGGCCCCTTTGACATGGGGTTGTGTCCATTGGTCTAGATAAGAGGTAACAAAGGGTGACTTACGAGAGGAGCAGTAAGTGGGGGAGAAGGATTGCAGGGAAAGATAACAGAATTGGAATGAGTTAGTCCCTGAATAGAAAAGAGTGGCGAGGGTTGGGGAGGAGGTGCCCACGGAGCTGAGATGACAGGAAAGGCGGTGCTGACAAAGGAATAATACTTGCTAGTGTCCTGTCGTCAGCAGACCAGACTTCACGGAGGGGACTGAACTTGTACGTACCATGTGCCTGGCACTGGTGTTAATCACTTTACAAGAACTGATTCATTTATGATTACTATTATCCCCTTTTACAGAAGAGGAAACTGA